GCCTGCCCAGCAGTGGGACGTATGTAGACTGTAATTTTACTTTACTGCGCACGTACACATTCGGTAGGCAAAAACGGTGTTATCCATAAATCACACTCAATGTGGGATAATTTCAAATAAAAGTAGAAGCCTTATTTACTCGTATTTTCAGAAACTAACGGTATGTCATTATTCATATATTTGAACTTAAGTTTAAAATTTGTCTACTTTAAGCAAAATAACCCTATATTTATACCAATTTTCATATATATATATATATATATATATATATATAAAAATATAAGAGGATGTTAAAATATATGAAATCGTTTAACTCAAAATCTATTTGATCGATCACAATGAAAATTGGTGTAAATATAGGGTTATTTTGCATAAAGTAGCCAAATTTTAAACTTAAGCAGTACTTTTGTGTAGGACTTAACGATATGATAACGATATTATACAGATTCTTACATCGCCACTATACGGTAAAAATAGCTTAGAACAAAAATACATACTTCATTGTGTTTCATATATATATTTAGATATCTATCTCATGCTCTTGCGGAATATTTTTTAAACAATTCTGCTGTTTGTACCGATTGTACTATGCATATAAGATGCATAACCGCGTGCACCTTTTAGTGGACGGAGAAGGATGCGTAGGGTTGTCGCCTGCGCTGTTTTTAAGTGACTATGTAAATAACAAAGTATGAACATATTTATTTATTGTTAAACATAAATTTTACACACAAAGAAACTTAACTAATGTTTAAACAAATCAACTTGACATAATGCTTTTGCTACAGAGTTACCGTAGCGCTGATATTCTGTCGGAGCCACATAAGTCGACTCGTAAGTATATAATTTACAAGCTGGTAATCGGAGCGTTGCTGCCGCAGAAGAAATAAGAAAGTAGAGCTATATTATTTAATTAGGAATGATAACACATTTATTGAAATTGAATGATACTGTAAGTTAATTGTACTATGCTTATAAGCTTCGCGAAAGTGTAAGCAGTAAGTTGACAAAGTTTTACCCTAACCTGATGAACGGTGTTACAGCGCACATAATACCAACGAACAAACATTCATTTTTATAATCACTAAGAAATTAATCAGAGTTAATGTTAAATTTAATTGTATTTCTTTAACGTTTCGCTTAAGGAATCAAGCACAATGTCATATTTAGAGTATTTATTACAGTTGCTATTTAAAAAAAATACCTTCAAATGGAATAGTAGACACTGTAGCAGCCCTACGCCTTATAGCCATCAAAAGAGCGCCTTTAAAAGCGTCGCCTAATGCATTGCGAGGGAGCGTTTGATTAAACGAGTGAACTTACGCGAGTAGCGAGTACCCTCATTTAGTAGTTTTGCTATCATAGTTTGTTCCAGTATATTAATGTTTAAGGAGATTAAGAGTTACTTACTGTCCAATGCATCAGTACTGTCAAGGGGCTGGAGCTCGATGATGAAGAAAAATTCTTCAGTTCTAACCTCGTACTCGTAAAGGATTCTCCCACTAGATTTAGAAGGATGTGATAAGATATGCTGGAAATCTATAGATGTAGGCGGCTTAGAATCATACTATGTGTATTCAGCATCAATTTGTGATAGACCATAATAACGATGCAGGATTTCGCTTTATTTAACTGCAAAATCACGGATTTAAAGTGCTAAATACGGCGTTATAACTCGTAGCAGTTTTAAAGACTGAGACGACACGGTGCGTGTTTAGCGTTAGTGTGCCTAAGTGCAACTGAATTATTGCAGTGCGATCGCTTTTAGATATATGCTAGCAAAGGGATTTGAATTTTGCATTGTCGAGTTGTACCACATAAGTTTTTTAAAAAATACTTATTATAAGTCAGTGCTTGACCACTACTCCATCCGATGGCAAGCGGTGATGCTGCCGAAGATGGCACTCACTGACTTATCTTAACTATAGTCTATTTACTCTTGTCTTGAGAAATATGAAAATCGTGAATTATTTGAGACATCCCTAAGAGAAGTTATGTATCATAAAAAACCGGACATTGATCCTTAAGAATAAACCAAGCTCAAATCGCTCGCGAATCTCAGTATGTAATAAGAAACGTATAAAAAATCGATTCCGTTATTTTAAGACGAAAACAAACATACAGCGTAATAACAGTGCGGCAAGTACAGTGATCGTTATTATGCCAATCTTTTACCTTTGCCTCGTAAACAGATGATTTTAATACGGTTTAAAAAAAACAAAAGCAAATATGGTGACGCCGATAAAAAACGAGTATTATCACAATCTCGTTTTTATGTTCTGTTTAACAGAGACTAACGTGATGTAACATATAATTAAAAGTATAACATATGGCAAACTTGAACATACTCCAAAGTTTTTAAATAGCGCCGCTTTAAAGTTTAGCTATACATATAATCTAGCCTTGAGAAGTTTGTTGTTCTTTTCGTCTAAAGGGAGATCGTTAACATCCTCCAGACTGAGTTTTGATCGCGGCGGTCAGCGTCAACGAAGACATGCCGTTTGCACAGGATACGATTATCGTGCACGAGCAGGTGCAGTCTTCGTTAAGTGTTTGATTACTTAGAGCTACGATCAGGAAGATACTGCTGCCCATCTCCTGTATCAGTTTTCCTCTGTCGCCTCTTCGGACACCCATGGGATGATATGGGATAGTAGTTCTTATTTTTTATTACCACTACCTGTCGTATGGAACATAATTTTCTATGGATCTACAATAAATTACGAGTACATACATTAAATCAAAATAAATGATGTTGTCTTAGGCCGCCACAGCACGGCGATACACCTTATACAAGTACAGTGACGTGTAGAATTTAACATTATTAGTTACTTAAGTTATTATTACTAGCACTTTTTTATTACTAGCACATTCGAGCACAAAACGAAGGTTCAATACATGCATAATATAGAGGGCCTCTTTCATCACGTGGATTGCGACCCTATTTGTCAATCTAAAATTATTTAAAAAATCAAAGACATATGGGGCGTTCTACTTTTCTACCGACAATCTGAGTGATAAATTTTTAGATTTTGAAAAAAAAATTAAAGTGTATTTCTTTTATAAAATGTATTTCCAAATTATTGTCCAGTTATCGAAGATTTTAGAAACATATAATGCATTGAAGTTTTATTTTATATTTTTTATTATTTTAAGTTTTATCGAAATAGTAAGAAAAAATAAACACCTCAGTCACAAAAAAATATTTATTAGTTATTATTTAAAATCAAATTTTCAGTTTTTTTTTAACTTTGCTTAACTAGAATACAAACATTTATTATTATCTAACTCGATTTATCGGAATTCTTATTACAAATTTATAAAAAATAACATTTAATACCACTCGGTCACATTTTTGCTCGTTAAGACAACAAACTTTGAAATATTTTGCAAATAATTGAAATAAACATAGCTGAAATTCTGTTAATACCTTGTATGGTTAATATGTAATAATATAATACGTTATTTTAGTATATATGTTATCAATAAACTGAATCCTACGAGGGCGGCACTGAAAATTTCGGGAATCAAGGAAGTGACACAACATTACTATTTAAAAACGTATGTATTGCTTTTCAAAGTATTCTCCGCGAAAACCACCTTACGATGGAACCAATCATTGAAACAACCATTCCATTCGGAAGTTGAGGTCTCCAAAATGGCCGTTTTGTAGGCGTCCACAGCTTGCTCAGGTGATGAAAATCTCTGTCCACGCAATTTATTCTTTATTTTAAGGAAATTATAGAAATCATTAGGGCTTAGGTCGGGGCTGTACGGCGGATGGTCTAATAATTCTATGTTTTCTTGCTCTAAAAACTCTTTTGTTCTGTGTGCGATGTGAGAACTCGCATTGTCGTGATGGAGGATGATGCGGCGGTTGCAGTTGCAGCAGTGCAAACGACCTGTGGCAAACAAATGCTAGCATACCATTCTGCATTAACCGTTCTTTGTCCCTCAAGAGGAATAGTCGTAACATGGCCGGTTTTGGAGACAAACGTGGCCACCATGTTTTTGCAACACTCCGTGAACGAACAATTTTTGTTGGCTTTAACTCATTTTCGAACACCCAAACTCGTGGCTGGTTTTTTGTTTCGGGTTCGTACGCATATATCCAGGATTCGTCACCTGATACGATATTGTATACAGCATTTGAGAATCCTGTGTGAAATCTTTCGAGAGTTCTGACGCACCAAGTAACGCGAGCCGCTTTGCTCTGTAAGCAAACTCTTAACAGAGCGAATGCGGTATCCATTGGGAAAACAACTTTTTTACACCTAATTGTTCATGCAAGATTATTTGTATTTGACTCATGCCAATGTCTAAAGTTGCCTGAATTTCGCGGTATATCACATGTCGATCTTCCTCAATCGGCTTACGTACAGCATCAACGTTTTCTTGGGTGACTACAGTTTTTGGACGACCTTGACGGGGATCATCACTGAGCTTGACACGTCCACGTTGAAATTCAGCAAACCAGCGATAAATTGTGGTTTTGGATGGGGCTTCATAACCAAATGCAGAAATCATCCGGTCAACACACTGTTTTTGTGTTAAACCACTTCGAAAGTCATAATAAATCATCGCTCTTGAATTTTCTCGAGTCAATTCCATTTTCTCAACGACTAAACAAGTTTGACAAAACCTTGTGACAAGACCGAGAATCTTTTTTTAAATAAATAAATTGTATTCGATTTTTAAAACCAAGGAGTTTTCAATTAAAAAGATTTTAATATGACAGGAACAGTGGAAATATTCCATTCCCGATACTTTTAGTGCAACCTAGTATGCTACTTTGACATTTAATTACAAGTGACAAAATTGTGACAGAGTGGTAGATATTAATAAGCCAACATTTGAACTTAATCCTTTAACATTTCTAAAGTTTTACAACAATAAGAAAACATAATGATTCTCTTATAATACTACATAATGTATTATTTCTTGATAGAACCATTCTTTGGTACACGTAAAATCAGGCTAATCTTCTCTTTTCTCTTATTCTACTTTTCAAATACTTCTATTGGTTTATCAAATTCGTAATAAACACGCCTTCCTCTTTTGACTTCTTTAGGACTTGGAATTATTTTTATCAAGTTTTCAAACATCACATCTGATACATCTGATTTTACTAATTTAAATATTTTTCCAGTGTCATCGACAGTTTTATTAAACATCACCTGAACATCTCCATCTTCATCCACACAACTTTTTGCAACTCCTAAGTAGGTGTACTCGACTTTATTTTTACTGGGTACTTTTACTAACATATGTGTACCATTTTTTATTAATAATGGGTGGATGTTGTCTGCAGACAGGTCATATGAAGTACCCGGTTTTATGTGCACAGTTTTTTTCTGTTTAACAAGAGGCTGATCATCTTCATCTTCTGAAGTAGAAGTATAAACAGTTTCATAAAATCTCTTTGTATGAACTCTAATTATGTTGGTTATGTCAGCCAGTGGTTCTTTTAAATCTGAGGTTGGGCTGTCGTTAACTTCTATCTCATGTTCAGGCAATGGGCGATAAGTCTTCAATTGTAACAATCACAAAATTTGTCGCAAAAACAACTCAATGTTCGGTAGCTCAGCACTCCAGGTTGCTGAGCAACTAGTTGGTGGACGTTCATAGTACCTTTCAACGGAATAATTTCACTTGGAATTTCCATTAAGTGCTTCATAAAATTGTAAAGAATCAATAATGTCGTCTCCACTGGAGACGAAATGGCAGCTAAACGTTTAATAGATCATCCTATACCGTCAGCTGCTCCCTTGCCGTTGCCGGACTCAAAAAAATTCCAGGTTGAACTTTCAAATCTGTATTGTTTAAAAAATCTTGTTGCAAAAAGATAAAAATTATTTTTTTGTTGTACTGTGTTGCTGGTCCATCATAAAAAAAGTGGACTGTCTTAATATGGGGTAATTCTTTTTGAACCCAATCAGGTACCGGATGTAGGTGGGCCCAAATAGGGCTGCGGGGCCATGATTAAGATCAGAAGACACTGTACAAAAAGAAGTAATATGTTTGTCCTTTGTAGAAGTCAAGTAATACATTACTGCGGTATGCAAAGTTACTTGGTTTCGCGATCCGCCGAAATGCACTGATTGAATTTCTCCGTGGTACTTACAGGCGTAGTTTTCACTATAGTCAATATGTACAGCAATTTCGGTTTCAGTCAATTCATTTATACATTGGCGATATGATTTATATTGATTTCTAATATTAAATATATGGGATTTAAAAACTTTTAATTCTTCTTCAAATTTACTAACCAAAATTGCAATTGTAACTTGTTCGGTCTGTTTTATGTTTTTACTGATTTTAACTTTTTTTCCGTTCTTCTCAATAATATACGTTTTTCTAACCCATTGTACCAATTCAACCAGTTTCTCTTGATCGATCATATTACCGTAATTGAGTTTCTTTCCTTCACATTCTGTGCATTTTCCTTTCATACAAGTTAATGAATTCACATCGCAAACAATTTGTGAGATTATCAGGTTCATGTCATTTGTTTTGATAACTTTGTTTTTATATAGAGCATCTTTCATAAACGTAATATTTGCGTACAGCTTGCACATGAGGTGGTACGACATAAAACGGTTTATGTCTCGCAAAATAATTTAATTAAAAAAAGTTAAAAATATTTTTTTTATGAAAAGTTACAGTCTCGTTTTTCCCACCAGTAGCTCGTGACACATCATCACTGAGATAAAATGTATGAATTTTCGCTTTCAATGAAATATTTCTTGATCGCAATGTACAGTTTTTTGATTTTCTTTTTATTCCCAAAGTCTCTTGAAACAGTTTAAGTTTAATTCCCGAACGGTTTATTGTTGTGTTTTCAAGGATTGTTTTAAAGTAGTGTTTTGTTTTATAGTTTTTTATGTTTTTGTAATGTTCCTTAATGGCATTTGTCAAAATACTATATTTTCTTTTTTCTTCTTCGGCGCTTTTAATTTTATCTTCATTTTTTTCTCTAGTTTTGGTTATATTATGTAATAAGTTGTCTTTTTTATTTTTTTTACGTTGAAGTCTTCTTGTATTTTCGTATTTTTTTCTGTAATTCTTTTACTTGGTTCTGAAGTTTCATATTTTGCCTAAAATTTCCTGTCCGTCCAACTTTTTCTCTTCCCCTTGCTCTAGCAGCGAATGAGGTTGGAGTTAGTGAACGAGATCTAGGATTTAAAGGAAGTAAACTGGGGCTTGAAGGAACACGTGTGGAAGGCGGAGTATTCATTAGAACTTTCTGCAAAACTTTCTGTTCTTCTCTTCTCTTCTTGTTTCTAACTTGCCATTTTCTTTTCATTTGTCTGTGTTCTCTTGTTGTCATATCTCTGACAAGCTTTTTGCGAGCTTGGTATCTTTCTAAGTCTTTTCGTTTCACTTCTGCAACTTTTTCGTGGTCTTGTTTCCTTTTTTCACGACAACGTCGCTGCCTTTCCGCCGCAGATAACGCCATATTTTAATTACCCCGATGATAATACCTTAAATGAATAAAATAATTGATAATGTAATATATAAAACACAAAGAATATTAATTAACTATTGTGATAATCAATCAAAGCAAAGTTCCAGACAAAAATTACCACTCCGTCACAGTTTTTCGGTGACAGAGTTGCCTCGTGACAGAGGTGTAAAATAACAGTGTTCGAGGATTTTAGCGTTCACAAAATTACCAATTTTTCGTAAAAGTAGGTGTATATGACAGATTTACTGGGAAATAATACGAGGGTGGATTGAAAAGTACTCGGCCTAACACAGATCCATTCAATTCTAAAAATCAAATCTACCCACATTATTTAGTTCAGTTCAGACTAGTTCATTGTGTGAAGTTCGAAACGTGTGCGATAATTAGTTGTGATTTTATAAATTTATTAACAAAGTAATCGGACATAATTTCCGCGAATGGAGCAAATCGAGCAGCGTGCCGTCATTAAGTACCTCCATAAGAAGGGGCTATCATCAAAAGCCATCCATGATGACATGGTCAGTACAATAGGCGATTGTGTTCTGTCATATTCATCCGTCAAAAAATGGATAGCAGAATTTAAGCGTGGTAGAGAGAGTGTGAAAGATGAACCCCGCTCTGGAGGGCCTTCGACGTCAACTACTGACGAAAATATTAAAAAAGTACTTGATTTAATAATGGGAGACCGCAGATTAAAAATTAGAGAGATAGCCGAGATTATAGGCATCTCTTATGAACGAACTCAAAACATCATTGTCAACGAGTTGGGTTTCCACAAGGTGTCTGCGAGGTGGGTTCCGCGACTGCTTTCAGTTGAACAAAAAAGGACGCGATTGACTATTTCACGCAACTGTTTGGAGTTATTTGAAGCCGATGCAGATGATTTTTTGAATCGTTTTGTTACTATGGACGAAACATGGGTTCATTACTGTACACCGGAAACAAAACAACAATCAAAACAGTGGAGAAGACCTGTTCTGTTCACTACCCCCTAAAAAGGCTAAGTCGATTTTGTCGGCAAATAAGGTGATGGCTTCAGTATTCTGGGACTCGAAAGGTGTGATTATGATTGATTATCTTGAAAATGGTCAGACTATAAACTCTGATTACTACTGCACCTTACTACGTCGTTTACGAGAGGAAATAAAAGAAAAACGTCGAGGAATGCTCAGAAGAAAAGTCCTGTTTCATCAAGATAACGCCCGTGTTCACACGTCAGTACAGTCAATGGCTGAAATTCACAACTGTGGCTTTGAACTGTTACCGCATCCGCCGTATTCACCTGATCTGGCACCATCAGACTTCTTTCTGTTCCCTAACCTAAAAAAGCACTTGGGAGGTCAAAGATTTTCGACAAACGACGAGGTCAAAGCAGCTGTAGACGCATATGTTGACTCTCAAGGAAGAATCATTTTTTTTTCAACGGTCTAAATGCTTGGAAGGGGAGGTGGCAAAAGTGTATTGAACTTGATGGTGATTATGTAGAAAAATAAAAATATAACTGATTTAGTATGTGTTTATTTTCTTGGTTAGGCCGAGTACTTTTCAATCCACCCTCGTAATATTACGTATATAAATGGGAATTAAAATAAGATTTCAAATTAGTGACTTACGTGACAGAGCGGTCGCCGAATAAATACACGCACCTCTGTTCACTACCTGCGGGCCTACGGGCGACTAACTCTGCTCGGTCCCGGGCTCCCGGGTGGGATCTCAAGGTGTTAGGCCAAGAGGGGAGAGGAAACCGTACTGTTGCTAAGTGTTGAAGGTCAAACAGCTAAGGCACGTTTTTTGTTTTGCAAAATGTGTGAAGGAAGATAGCAAGAAAAACATATACAGCCGGACCCAACGACAAAATATTTTTTTTGTTTAATAGTATTAATAGTATGAACCTTTACGTTTATTATATTCTAATTAATTTAATGATAATATTTTAGAAGTTCAATAAATAATTTTATATTAAAGGCCTCTATATGGTTTTTTAAGCGAGATCATTTTGTAACAGTAGGCGGCGCAAAGAGACACATTCTATTTGTAAAAACCCTCACACATTTCGAATACTATGTCACAACGATTTTGTAAAAAGCAAAAACAATAAAAACGGGGTTTTAGTATTATTATATTAACTATATATATGGTCCAAAAAATCCTGTGAAAATAAAATTTGAGAAACTGCAATTTTGGACGAATACCGATTTTTTTTCCCGAACGACCCATATTACTATTTTATCATTGAATGAAATACATGTTTTCTTCCAAAGATTGCATCTGCAAATATCCAAGCATTTAAAATTAGGTTTCCAGTGATTTAAAATTCACAGATATCAGTGGATAATTAAGTCGGAATGAACAGCACATTCTGTTTATTACCCATGCACTGGTAACGGATCGCAAGCGACGGAATTTTATCTCGGTGCATATCTCCGGAAGCGTAATCTTTTATTTTATTAGCGGCTGTTAAAAGTGAACTTGTAAATTCTACCTAATTATGGTGCGAAGTCCTTGCCGTGTGTGCAGTTGCGGCACAAGAAAATACTGCATTTATTTTGGTTTCACGGATGTCGTTTATTGTAGATCTTAGAAGTTATATAGAATGTCAAATGCGATATATAGTGCAAATGAAAAATAATCGGAATTACTAGGAATATAATCAAGTTGATCGAAATAACCGAACCGACAGTGGTGAGTAAAATTGAAGACTATATAAGACCGACAATCACGCTAATTTTTTCTTGCTTGAGGGGTCTTTGTCTTCAGCAGTGATTCTTAGTATCTAACCTTTAAATTATGAGGTATTTTTAACCGGTTTTTTGTCTTGCCATGAACACCAAATTTGAGGCATGATAAATATAATAGTAAGGTAGATTTATAAGTTTCTCCTATAAAGGTGTTATTACGCTCATTTTATTTTAAGCAGTGTAGCAGTATCTTCACAGTGACCATCATATCCAGTATTGTACACTTTGTTTTTTTTTTTTATATAGGATAGGGTGACAAACGAGCACACAGTCCACTTGATGGTAAGTGGTTGCTGTGGCCCATAGACATCTACATCCATCCTTGATTACGAATAAAAATGCAGATGCGTTGTCACCCATGAGGACCAAGATGGAATGCCTCGCCAGTAAAAAGGGTCGCCGGTTTTCTACACTTACCATACGAAACACAGCAGGATTAAGCTACTATTTTACGCTGGTATTCTTTGAGAACGTGGTCCTTTCCCGGTCGAGCCCACCCATTCGTACTACAACTATACTATTAATATAACTCCAGCATGGCTCTACCACGTATAAACGTCTAAAGGTTATATGTGAGAGGACTATGTGATGTCTTCCCTGACCACTTTGGGTGCTTTTAGGGACTACGGGAAGAGTCGATCGATCTATTGCTTAGAAGCTATAGCACACGCTTTCATACTACGCGTATCTAGTTATCTGACCAATCCCTGCCGGTGCACCTTAAAGAAACCTGTATATGTTTAAAAAGAAAAAAATATTTCGTGAACATGCGACGGCCGCCAGTTTAAAAAAGTATTTAGTCTGTTTGGAAAGACAATGTGGTGGTGGAATTTAAGGGCATTGGATTCTCTAAGTAGCGTATTTGTTGTGTGGTTTTGTAACTGAGTGATCATGAACGAGCCGTAACATTTCGATAATATAAAATAAATTAAAGTAAAAAGTAAAGATACAGCGTACGTACGTTCCACTGTTGGGTACAATCCTTCTCTTAATTAAAACGGGTTTCCTTTACAGAAAAAGAAAATATATTTACGTAATTTATTAGTTATCCCGTACAGATATCCTCGATATCCAATTCGCAAACTATTTAGCATACCTTGCCACAAAACAACTTTAGGCGCGCATTATCCCCTAGCCAGAATATGTAACACATACAATGAAATTATCACCAAGATACCGGACATCGACATTTTCAACGACTCTGCCCGATGCTTTAAAAAAATTGAGCATTTTTTTTCACCCTCTCAGCACACACTCATTCCTTAGTTGGCTTTTTCTTAATATAAGTTATTTTGTATTCAGTACCATTATAATATAATAAGCGACACATTACGGTAAATGTTGTGTATACCTGTAATTGGCAAACATACTTAACCATATTCATTTGTTATTGTATTGTTGTTAATGTTTCATGTGTTTTGCTGTTGGTTTACCTTATAAATAAATAAATAATTATGACGGATATTACTGAATTCGTCTTGTTTAAAAAAATATCGTGTATTGAATAAAACTAATTTTACTTAAAAACTACTTGATTACTACTTACTTAAATACTACTAAACTTACTTTTAGTAAGTTTCCCTATGTTTCTGTGCGTCAAGTGCTTTACAGCACCCGTGTCCACTGCATTTTATCGATTTTATCACGTTTGATTAAAGTTATCTTTAAATTAAATTATATTATTTATAACGTATTCGTGTAAATATAAGAAATCATTAATTATTGTGTAACTAAAATATTATTTCACATTTCCGTCTCCTAGCGAGTCCACTCCCCCGATTAAACGCGCCCTTGCTCTGATATACGTATTATATTTGTCTTGTTTTTATATAATACAAGGCAATTTCACCCTTAAGGCGTCCTCATTTTATTTCCCTATTTTATACCTTATGCTTTGCGGTTGAGTATAAGTTCATGTAAGTTTCTTTTTCCGGTTCGGTTTAAAAAAATAATTTTATATACTAGGGCCAATGCAGATGCAAAGGTTAAAACCTTTTGCTCGCATCATAAACGGAGCGAAGTAAAAGTCTAAAGTTATAACTATTTTTATTTCAACAAAAGATTCAATCAAGTGGTGGTGACATTGCGCAGATGTAAATTAGCGAATTGATTAGATAGTAAACGAAAAAAAAATCAAATTCAGATTTTTATTTTTATTGTTTACAAACCTAGTCTGCGTTGAACTACAAATATTGCCGAAAAATTATGTAAATTGGCCTACGGGTTACGGAGGAGATAGATTTCAAAGAGTCG